AATTAATTAATAATTATTTTTCAGTTTATATTACTTAATATTAGTAACATTTATTATTAATATTTATTTATAATTAATGTTAATTAAAGTTATAATTGTAGAAAGTGACAATAAACTAATAAAACGTTACTTTAAGTAGTGTTTCAATAAGTTAACTTTTGTGCATTAAAACGTGTATTTAAAAAATAAACTAGCTTATTTTTATCAAACAATGCTTAAATTTAAAATAAAAAGTTTATTAAAAATAATTAAATATAATTATTTTAATTAACAATGAATCCGGTTCACGTTTTATTTTAAAATTACTTTTTTCTAACATTTTTATATTTACATTCATGGATTGAATGGGTTCATATTATAATATTGGTGGTTGTTTTATATATTTTTTATTTTAATTAAATATGAGCATGTGACAACCTTTTTTTAAGTAATTCTACCTTTTCCAACTGAAAGTGTGTTTATTATATTTGACTAGATAAATATACGAGATATGTTTTGATTTTAATGTTTTGTTTTATGTCGATGTTAAAATACTTTTTTATGTTGTTTTGAAAAAAAACGATAATATTCTTATTTTTGAATATATAAAGATATCATAAAATTTTGAAAAAAAATATATTGATATTAATATCAAATTAACTATTTAAAAGTTCTTGTTTTGTTGTGTATTTTATTTAATTCAATTTTTTTATTATAATTTATTTTAGGTTTAATAAAAAGTAATTTTTTTTTTGATTTAATAATGTAATTTTTTTATAAATATAATAATTAAATATTCTATCAAATCCAAGGAGGAATAAAAATAATCTTGCGGCCACGGAAGTTCAAATGCGGTGACTCCGGGCTATCTGCAAAGGAGGTGGTCGTCCTGAGATTAGTTGGCTCGCATAGCGGGTTGGATATCCAAGTTAATCAAAAATAATATAATTAAGTATTATATTATAGAAACAAAATTATTATCTTAATTATATTTTAGATGTTTATATTTGAATAAAATGTATATCTTGTATTTGTGTTAGTGACACGAATTCAAGTATGAAACTTTAATAAATTATACTTATACATTATTTTCTTGTAATCTTGAATTTAAGTAATATGCGTCAATAAACAGTACTTCATGTATAAAAAATGGTTTTTAAGAGTTTTTGTCAAATTCTTTATAATATAGTATAGATAAGGGCATTAAAAAGTTAAAACCGAGAAAAAAAATATTTAACAACATATATTTTATATTTATACTTCTGATATTAACTATAATAAAAAAATATTTAATATATCGAATAATATTATATTTCTCTCTTTTATATAGTACATGTTGGAGATGTTTTTATCTCGATTATTTTCTCTATTTTAACATATCATTTAGTATAGTTGTTGAAAATCTGAAAGGAATATAACGTACCATTTTTTTTAAATATTTAAATTTCTCTATTTTAACATAGTTGTTAGAGATGATATGATATTTATGTTGGATTGTTGTCAATTAATTTTCGATATAAATGCAAAATTAGATTCATAATTATTTTATTATTTTATTGTTAAATGTCTTTTCCGCTAGCATCTATACTATATTATAAAACATTTGACAAAAAAAATATTAAAAACCATTTTTTTTATGCATGAAGTATTGTTTATTGATGCATATTACTTAAAATTTAAGATTACAAGTAAATTGTGCGTAAGTATAAATTATTAAAGCTTCATTTTTGAATTTGTGTAACTAACCACAGATAAACATAATCAAATAGAGGATAAACATCTCATTTTAAATATAAAAAATCTAAAATATAATTATGATAATCATTGAGTTCCAACAAAATAATTAATTATTACTTTTATAAATGATTATATTATTAAACCAAAAATAAAAAAATGAGTTAAAGAAATACATCAAAAAAGAAAAATTTTAAATAGTTAGTTTGGTACTAATATCAATATTTTTTTTTTCAATTTTTATGAATCTTCATATTTATATTTTATTCAAAACTAAAAACATTATCGTTTTCTCAAAACCACATAAAACCGTATTATAACATCAACTAAAAAAAAAACGAAACACTAAAATCAAGATATAACTGAACAACCAAAAATAAATAACATTTTTTTATGTAGATTAAAGTACACAAAAATTACTAAATAATAGACGTAATGTAACATGTTGCTAGGTTTAATATACGTAAATATATTAAATAACGACTCTGTTTTTAAATATAAATTTAAGGGGTTGTTCAGTAATTAATATAAATGAAAATGAAAGAAACTGTATGATTTTATATAATATAATCAATTCATCCTCATAGAATTTTCACTTGAGATTAAACTGCAGGGAATGAAAATTCATCCAATCATTTTTATTTTTATTTCCATTCCCCTGCATGAAACCAGATACCCCCATTAAATAAAACCAGGGGCGTGTTGGTTTACCTGTGGAAACAGGAATTGTAATTGTATTGATGTGTTTTTTTATACTGAAATTTTAATTGTAATTATTGCAGATGATATCTTCCTTTTTTTTATATATAGTTGTACTAGCATTTTTATTACGTCAAGAGCGTATGGCTTAAATACAAAATTGTAGCTTCGAAATAGTCATTTAATACAAATACATCAAAATACATACAAAAAAACTTATAATTAATCTTCTTAATGTTGGAAAACTTAGCTCAAAACAACTTCTCGTTCACCGTGATCTCTGAAATAAAGCAAGAAACACAAATAAAAAAGAGGAGTCGAGGAGAAACACTGTTTTGAGTCGACACCCGTGTTGAACAAGGTTTTCTTAAAGCCGAACCGCCCCTAATTGACTTGTCGATTTCCCATGATACAACGATTCTAATTGAAATTGAAATTGAATTTTGGTGGTTAGGCAACACATTACTAACCAAAGAAAGTTCAAAATATCACACATAATGGAACTTAATGCCATTATAACCAAAACATATTGCATTTTCATTGTCACAACTTTATGCCCACTATGGTATGGTATGGAGACTTTATGCAATTCATAATTATCAATGACCAATGGACTCAAAGAAATCAACACAGTCAATTACATTTTTAATACTAGAAGGGTGTTCGTGCAATGCATCGAGACATATCTCGATTTCAATGTCTCATTTTATTCTTTATCTATGTCAATATAATACGGTTTTATGTGGTTTTGAGAAAGCGATAATGTTTTTATTTTTGGATAAAATATCATAAAATTTTGAAAAAACTATATCGATATTAATGTCAAATTAACTATTTAAAAGTTCTTGTTTTGTGTAATTTCTTTAATTCAAAATTTTATTATAATTTAATTTAAAGTAATGAAGTAATTTAATTTATGTTTAATAATATAATTTTTTAAAAAA